CTACTCAAGTTAAAGAACGAAGACAATGTGTTCAAGGCTGGCTCTACAGTACAAAGTACTACTAATTTACACCGACATGGTCTTCAATTTTCCAAGAGCCGTGTCCTGTGAAGCCAGGGCCAAAGCGGACAGAAGACCCCACATCCTTGGCCACCTCCCCATCTCCTCCCCAACACGATCACAGCATGGGAAAGCATCAAATTGACAAGCCTAGTCAGCCAGCCCACCTCCCACCCCTACCATCCCCACCCACCATCCAGCCATTGTACCTCTACATACAGTTGTCCAGTGCCTTCTCTGTGCCAGGAACAGACAGTTCTCTTCCACCAAAGGTCCCCAGCCAGCGGTCTTGAGATGGGAGGAAAGAGGAACTTGTCTTCAAGTTTTCTCCCCGCCTCTAGCCTCCCGCCTCTCTCTTGGTCCCTCCCGCCCTGCCTCTGAGCCGCGCCTCCACCCCCCAGGTCATTCCACCTGGACCCCAAGCACAGTCCCCCACTCCTTGCTCGCCCTCACCATCCTGGGGCAGGCACCATCCTCTAGTCCGTCTCCCCGCAGCTGCCCTGGCCTCCACACCGGTTCATTTTAACCTGCTGGAAGATGTGCCCAGGAGATCATTTCCTAATAACCACATTTCCCCTCAGTGACCTTCTTTCTAGAATATAAATTCAGATGAAGTCAAGGTAATTTTTCCTCTGTTAAAGACAGTCTCACCTGGGTGTTTCTGGAAGAGAATTAACAGAGGGAATAAATAACTACACACCTGCCTGATGAAGGGAGCGTGGCTCATGTGACAGTGGCCTGCCATGTGGGACTTGCCTGGACATGCCTCAGTTTCCTTGTCTGTAAAATGGGAGAATAACAGTATTTCCCTGCTAGGATTGGTGTGAGAATTAAATGAAACGAAGTGGAGCCTATCCCCCCTGTTAACTATTATCGTCATCAACATTATTATTTCCAGGTGGGCATGAAAATTGGCCCTCAGTGCTGTAGCCAGTGATGACTGTAAAGGACACATCTGGTCACTCCTCTCCCCTCTAAATCTTCTCTCCAAGGCTCTCCAGTGCCCTAAGGCAAAATCCTTCGAGATCTGGTCCCAGCTGACCTGGATAACCTTGTTTTGCACCACATGCCCTCACCCCTCCAGCTGCCCCAGCCACCTACACTGGAGGGGCTGGCGGTGGGTCAGCACAGGGCTAGCCCCTAAAGAAAGCTTCTTCCTAATTCCGCCCCAAGCAGCTGGATGAGCTGGCACGGCATCTGAGCAGGATTTGCCTTCAGGCCGTGTCCTCCCATTTAAGGGCAAAATGCAAATGATAAATTCTGAAATTAACAGCTGCCAAGATGACTCGTCAGGTTCAGGGAGCTCCTCTTCCCATAGCCGGCTCTGCCTGGTGGTGTCTGCAGCTCGCCGGCTGCTGTTCGTGTGTTATTGCAAGTGTCTTATCGCGTTCAACATGATTATTTTTCAGAGGATAAGATAGCAATGTTAGCTCTACTTGGGATTATCGGCCTGCAGTCGCAGCCACCTGTACTTGGCATTCACTGCAGAGGCAGTAAAACCTTCCGAGACTTGTGAAACCAATCTGATGTAGGGTTGGGCAACGAGGAGGGGACAGAGAATAGAAAAGAAAGAAAAACAGCCAAGAGCTGAGGTGTAAAATATTATCCTAATTAATTACAGGGGTGGAGTTAAAGCACTAAGGTTAAAAAAAATGCAGTTTTCCTTTTTTTTTTTCTTTTCGCAAATTGTGTTCTTGTGTGTTTCCTGATGACTGATGTGATATATTCTTGGCTTTCCGAGCAAGAAAAGTCATCAGGGTTTCATTTGTTACGTTTATGCCAAAAGAAATAAATCTGGGCGGTCGTGGAGAAGGTTGCTCACGGCCCCGTCACTGTGTGGGGAAACAGGCCAGTCGCATCCCCAGCGGGTGGGCGGGCAGAACTGACTTGGGGTAAGATACACTTTGGCCTTATTGATCACAAAGCTTCTTCATTACTTCTGCGGGGCTGCAAATCAATAGACAGGCCCACAGAAACATAATAGATTTTTTTTTTTAGAAAATCAATTAAACAGAATTTTTTTTACAGAATTGAGTTTGCATGGCTGTTGTCTTTAATGCGGTTTCCTTCTCAGGATTGCCTTACAACGACCAAGGGGCAAAGCCTTGTTTAAAAGGTTGAATTTGAAAGAAGAAGAGAGGACAGTCTGGGAAAAGCAGAAAGCATCCTGTTCAGCCCCCGAAACCCTGACTCGACAACCTTGCTAGGAAGCAGTGGCATCGGCCCCTGCCCCACATGTCGTCCTCTGGGCAGAATCTGTCAGCGTGCCTCCTCTCGGGCTAAAAACGTGGAACTGAAACTTCCTGGAAAGCCCAGATTGATGTCTGAATTTCCCCATTCCGAAAGCAGAAGGAGCCCAGCGGGCATCAAGGTGAAATGCGGCCGGGCTGGGGCTGCCCAGATCTGCCACTGAGCTGCCCACTGGTCCCTCTCCCCCAGGGACACAGAAGAGCAGCTGGAGGCTCGGGGATGCTGAGCTCAAGAGGTAGCTACAGCCCAGAGCCTCGGCCAACTGGCCACACTCTTGGGCTTTTTCTTTTTGTAGTTCTCAGATAAGCAAGCAAATTCCCACCGTGCCAGAGGGAGCAGGCTGGGGTTTGGACAGCATGCTGCTTGTGGACTTGTGTAGCTCGCCGAGTCCTGGTCCTCAGCAGGCAGGGACTTGCATCCCTCTGCTCCCTTGACCTCAGCCTTCTTGCCACTTTCTTCCCGGTCTGCCATGACCCCAGATGACATTTATTTTAAAAAAGACAATCCTCCTTCCCCTTCTAGCAACTTGACAAAGAACGCCTCACGTGGACACGGTGACGTGGCGTGGAACCCGGCAGAACAGCCAAGCCGGAAGTCCTCCAGCAACGCGGGGCATGAGGAATTATATGTTCCTGACGGCGCTGAATAAAGAACAAAGCTGCAGTTCCGTAGAGGAGCCTGGTGATGACATTTTAAAATCTCCCTTAGCTCTGTTCCTGTGGTTCATGTCATCAGGACACCAGGACAGAATCTCGGCCTGAATTTATGTCCATTTCAGGGCGGACGTGTTATTTACCGCCGCTTCCTTCCATCTGTCTCTCGCCTTGGGCTTGTCTTTCGGTAACTCGGGCGTTCCGTCTGGGCGTTCACAGCCCTCCCTGCGGCAGCTGGCACCGGGGCTGCTCTGAGTGCTGGGATTACTTACATCACTAAAGGGGCGTGGTGCTCCAGCTTGGAGATTCTGGACTGAATCTGGAAAGCTAGGGTGAAGCATGAAACCCTGATCCCTTTCCATGGGGCTAAAAGAGACTCAGAAAGACCTCCCAAGCTAATCAAAAGCAGCAGGCTGGGTTTGCCTGAAAATGGAGACTCCAGTCTGCTTCCTCTTCCTCTCCATCCCTGTGGAGACAGGGCTGGGTGGGGACCCAGGAGGTACTGGAGCAACATGCCTTGCTTGAAGGAAGGGGAGTTTTAGCAAGCAGTGCAAGAGTTGAGGGCCAGATGGAGATTTTTCAAGATAGAGTGATTAGGGGGAAATTATTTCTTCTCAGACCGTGTTTTCAGTCTGGCTGGATTTCATGGTACCTAATCGGTGTCAGCAAAACAATGACTAACCATCCAAGACTCAGCTTCAAACCTTCCATATTCTGCTGTTCAGAAATTCAACTTGGACCCACCATAGACACTGAATTCCAAGACTTTGAGGAAACGTTGAAGGAAAAACAACGGCATTGCCACCATAAACAATGGAGAAACAAGAAAATCCATCTTCATCATCTGCTGGGACATTTTACTTGGAGAACCGTAATTCCAAATTCTTACATCTCAGAGATGGACCTAATGGGACATTATCTCATTTAATAAGTGCTCACGGAGGGCTGCCATGTGCCGGGCACTCTTCTTAGGGAGTGGCTAATTCATAGGAAAAGTGCCTGCCCTCCAGGAGTATGCATTCTATGGGTGAGAAAGATAATAAACAAACACACAGGGGCATGATGTAAACTCCAAGAGAGGGGGCGGAGTGTACAGCTCAGTGGCAGAGCATATGCTTGGCAGGCACGAGGTCCTGGATCCAATCCCCAGTACCTCTATTAATTATAACAATAAATAAACTAAATTACCAACGCCCCCAAATAAAAACTAGACCACTTTTTTTTAAAAGATCATTAAAAAAAAGAGGGAGGTGGGGGAGATTTGAGAGTAGAGGACAAAAGCAGAGGAGTGACACCCTTGAAGACAGAGAACAGAGATGCAAGCCAAGGGATGCAGGCAGCTTCTAGAAGCTGGAAAAGGCACTGGGTCCTCCCCCAAGAGCCTCTGGGGGGAGCACAGCCCTGCCAAGGCCTCTGTTTGGCCAGGTGACACCCATCTCAGACTTGCGGCCTCCGAGATTGTAAAATACTAGATTTCAGCGGTAGTAAGCCACCGAGCTTGGGGTCACCTGCTACGGCGGCCCTAGGAGATGAACACAGTGATCAAGTGTGGAATAGGCAACCTTTTCTTGATGTGTGATTTTATCTTATTTTTTCACAGTCCCTGTCCCCTCCTGTCTCCCCAGTCCCTCTGAGTTTGGGATGCCCTATTGGCTGTCTCTGAAGAGAAAGCCTCAGCAAAAGTTCCCTCTAACTGGCTCTCAAATAATAATTCTGTTTGCTCCCTTTGGTGGTCCAGAGGCAGGTCCCACAGCACTCTGCACCCTCAGGGTGTCCACCCTGGCCCACCCAGGCTTTCCATGCCAGTTTCCCCCTAAATGCCCGCAAAGAGCAGCCCTGAGCCCCCATCCGTGTTCTCAGACCCTGGCACCCTGGAAGTCATCTACTTTTAGCCTGGTTGCTGGTCACTGCCTCCCAAATATGCATGGATCCTTTCTCCGGCCCCTGGGTCTTCATGCCCACAGATGCCCTTCCTGGAGTCAAGACCACACTTTCCTATAAGCTCTGAATGTACCTCCCTGCTCCCAATGCCTCCGTCACCTTGGTTAGGAAATCTCTACCCTATTCCAGTTCATCAACACCCACCCTGACCTCTGACAAATCCCTGGACCAGACAGGAGCCCACCCGCACCGGCTCTGTGGGGCGGGATATGTGTGCGGTCAGACAGCAAACAGAAGATGCACGTTCATATGTGCAAATATTCTCTTCAAGCAGACACCTCCTTCAAGCTGAGGCCCCTCTTCACTCGCCTTTTACCAGGCTACTGTGAGCTCAGCAGCCTCTCCAGGCCTCAGCATCTCTGCCTGTGAAGTGGGGCTAACGAGAAGTCCCACCCCATGGGGTCACTTCGTTGAGAGGATAAACACGGTGGTGTCCGAAGGTGTCTTAACGCTCCACGCACAATGAGTCCAGGAAACGTCCATTTCATCGTCTGATCTTTAGTACAAATGCTATTTTGCAAAAGGAGACATCACCTCCAGTGGATTGGTTTTTGTTTGTTTACACGGTAGTGGTTGTTTTATGACAAAGCATTACAGTTTTTTTCTTCTTCAGAGGAGCTGGACTATGTTCTCTTTGCAAACATGGATCATGTGAGATGATGTTTGAAAATTATAACATATTTCCTCACGGATTTGGATTAGACATGCAACGCGGACCCACGAGTGGATGAGGAAGTAAATGCCTTCGGTGCCTGGGGCTGTGGGCCAGGGTGGTTGATAACCAGGAGCGTGGTATACTTGCCCAGATCACCTGGAAAGATGGATCTCGGTGTGTGATTTTTAAAAATCATTTTGAACAGACACACACTACTATATATAAAATAGATAAACAACAAGGACCTACTGTACAGCACAGGGAACTATATGCAATTTCTTGTAATAACATATAATGGAAAAGAATTTGCAAAAATACATATATGTGTATGTATGTATATATATAACTGAATCACTTTGCTGTACACCTGAAACTAACATTGTAAATCAACTACACTTGAATTGAAAATAAGGATAAAAAAAAATCATTGTGAAAGAAGAATAACTGTTCATCTAAACAAGATTATTCAGATTCAGTAAAATATCTCACGCATGAACTAAAACCAATACTCACCAAATGAAACTATTTCTCGTCCCCATTCATACTGGGTCCTTGTTTTACCTTTTAAAGCCTGATGTGGAGTCGTGCAGAACGACCGAGGGGAGGTCAGTCAAGCTCCGTGCAGCCTTCCAAGGGCTGGGCTGTCATTGTTTATTCCTAATCTGCTGCTTAAAAGCAGGAAAATGCAGTTCCACGGGGGTGGGACACACAGACTTCCCCCCAAGCGACCGCCAACGATCCCAAATCCTCCTGAATTTACCCCCTAAATGAGCAGGAGCGGCGATCCCCGCGCCAGGAGCCAACGGCACAGCAGGGCCTTTCCAGCTCGACTCGCACGAAGACTGCGATGTTTATCACAGGGCAAGTAATAAAAAGGTGCTAATTCGAAGCTTACATGTATATTGTTAAAACCCCAGGAACAGCCATTGTTTAGAACTTAGACCAACAAAAATATTTTCCAGGGACATTTTTTGGGAGTCACAACACTGTTAATAAAAAGCAGAGCAACTCTGGCGGGTTTCATTGTTGTTTCCAGATTTCCTATGGATGCGCGTGTCCTCCCTGCTGCACTTGGAGCTGTGTGTCTCTCCCACCTGGGATTTTGCCCTTTTCCTCATGGGCCAGAGAAAGGGAAGCCAAGTCTTCCTCTGAGCCGCCCCCGCGGGTCCTACACAAAATGAAGGGTCCAAGCGGGTCCTCTGTGCGGCCTTCCCTCTGATTTGGGAAACTTCTCCCCGAGGAGGCCCCAGCCCCACTGAGCCTGGCCTCTCAGAGAGGTCTGCCCAGTCTCCCCAGGCACGAGGGACACCCTCAACCAGGAGCTCACCCACAAGGCTGGTGACTGCATAGTGACTGTTTCCATGGCCAGCTTGGACTGTTTCCTGGAGTAACTGGCCCTGCAAACTGGAGGGATCTGGAATCTGGGCATGTAGAGCTGCCAGGCAGATGGAGGGATGAGGTCAACAGGAGGCGGCGAAGCAATGAGAAGGGGAAAGGTGTCTGATTCTCAGATCAGCCAAGCCACCCCACCCAGGACCTCCAGCCACCCTCCACCAGCTCACAACCTCCAAGGCCAGGCGATGGCTAGTCACTGGTCACCACCACCCATCCTCTTGTCCCCAGACGCCCCTGAGGTGCAGGTGGCCTCCCTGTGACCTGTAAGCTTTGGAGTCCGCAGATGTGGATTCAAATCCTGCTTCTCTTGCTGTTCTCCCTCAGGCAATGCTCCATCTAAGCGGGACATGCAGGGTCCACAGGGCTGCTGGCATCACGGGGGACTGGAATGGCGTAGGCAGGGCTCCTGGCACCAGGGCGGGCAGCTGGGCATCCCCTCCCCCTCCCATCCTCCGGGCCGAATCTACCAGAACAGAGCCCCTTGGAAACAGCTTTGACTGTTTTCACAGGAGCCTTTTTGGAGACACGATGATCATTTTCAGCAGACCAAGATGGGGCGGCGTTCAAGGGCTTTAGGGCGGCACTCGAGGTGGCCGCGGTGGGGATGGGGGCAGGCAGCCCCATCCCGAGCGGGCTGGAGTGGGAACAGGGGGAGGGGAGGGGAGGGGCGGGCAGTGGGGGCGAGCGCCACAGCGGCTGTTCCCACCCCGTCAGTATGCAAATCGCTCGCCGCTGAGATAAATGATCCGGCTGGAAGGCAGGCAGGGTTCCCAGCGGGAGCCATTTGTCATTTCCATTCCCGACGAGTGAGCAAATCCGCGAGAGCCTCCCCATCCCACCCTCCCGCTCAGGTGGCTGTGCGGGCACAGGTGCCCAGAACAAATGGAGGCAGCTCCCTGACCTCTGCCTCCCCTCTTCCTAATGGGGGCAAAGACCCGCCTTGCACGGCCTTGGACTTGGGTAGCCCAGCACCATGTGGAAAAAACTCGAAGTCCAGGGGAGAGGGCGCTCTGTCTCCTGGAAGGACAATGGGAAACCGCAAACCTCTCTTTTGGCAGTCAGATCCCTGCCTAATTGACAAGTGTGTGTCCGGTGCATGAGCTGCTAAAATTTTCCATGACGTCAGCAGAGTCGGACAATGTCTGGGGTTCACCTGGCAGGCTTGGCACCGAGTGGAGGAAGT